ATAAATTTTTTGCTTATTCTAAAAAAATGTTAATATAATAAGTATATTCAAATAGTTTAATTAATCGTTCGGGTATCTGTGATCACCCTCTGTATTAATAAATTATACAAACATTGCAAATTATTAAAATAAATAAAATAATACTTATCTTTTTAAAAATATATCAAGCATATTATGATAATAAATAAATTTCTGTAAATTTAAAAAAATCATGAATTCTAAAATTCAATGAGAAATAATAAATTAAAGTAAATAAAAAAATTTATAGCAGGGTATAGCTATGGTGTATAAATCTTATAGCATAACTATGGCGAGCTATAGCAGCATATAGTATAGTATAAGATTAAAAAAAATATCTTATAACATAACTATAACGTGCTTAATATAAAAACTTATAATGAATATAATTCATTTAAATAAATAAAAATAAATAAATAAATAATGCAAAAAATGGTCTTTAATTTATTATACTCACCTAGAATTTCTCTAATTTAAATTAAATCAAATCTGCAAATTAAAATCTTAATACTTGTTAAAATTATTTTTAAACATTTTATACTTACTCCATTATTATACTGTATTATTTGTATTATTTAAAAAAATAAATTCTTGTTAATATATACAAAAATTACATTAATTATTACACAAATTATAAATGAAAAAAAAAAATAATGAAAATTTGATTTTAATAATTTTCTTTCAATTTGTTGAAGCTGTTGATACTACAGCTGTTGGAGTTGTTGCTGCTGTTGTTGTTGTTGAAAATGCTGCTGCTGCTGCTGCTGTTGTTGTTGAAAATACTGCTGCTACTGCTGCTGTTGTTATTGTTGTTGAAAATGCTGCTGCTGCTGCTGTTGTTGTTATTGCTGAAGTTGTTGTTGTTGATTAAATAAAACTTGATAAAAAATATGTTGTTATTGTTGAAGTTGACCATTAGTTGGTCGACGTTGAGGATTATTAGTAAGTTGTGAACGAGTATTTTGATATGATTGTATATTTATAATAACATTATTGTTATTATTACTATTAATATCATTGGTATTATTGGTAGTATTCATATTGAAATTGCAAACATAAAAAATTAAACACGAAAATACAAACACAAAAAATAATTTCCTTTGTAAATTACATTTTTTGATTTCTAAAATAAATTATAATTTGATATAAATTTCTTTTTTTAGTTTAATTCATCATTTTTAATCAAAAATAGAAATTTGTAACTTAATCTAAAAATAAAAAAATAGATGTTAATCGAAATATTAATTAAAATTTTTTTTTTACGTTTCTATATATTAAAATTTATTGTTTTAAAAAATGATATGTATTAATATTTGTATTTATTTATTTATAATATATATATACTAAATAAAATAAATTTTATTTAATAGACTACTGAAAATAGTGATAATAGTACTATTTTGGATGATTATTCAATTATTTCAAAAGATATGGAAATAATTAATAATAATCAAAGAAAAGGAGGCAAACCAAAGATAAAGTATGGGATTATTTTAAAGTAATAGATGTTCCTAATAATTTACACAAAGGGGCACAATGTGTTTTTTGCTCACTATCTTGGAAACGTGGCAAACCAACTGATATGAAAGCACATTTGACTTTGAAATGTCCTATGGTTAATCATAATGTCAAACTTGAATATTTACGTAAAATATCAAGTAAAGATTTAGAACAAACCATTCAAAATCAATCAGATGATAATGATAATAATATAGCTGATACTGCAAAAATCAATAAGGCTTTAGTATGTCTATTTGTATATTGTGACATTCCTTTTTCTATTGTAGATTCTCCTTTTTTCAGGATTTTGTCAAGAGTTTATGCTATAAATATGAATTACCAGAACAAACAACTTTATCAGGTAACTATTTGGATACAAAAATAGCAAATATCACATTAAAAGTCAAAGAAGAATTACGCTTCTTAAAAAATTTAACTTTAGGTTAGAATTTTTATTTTATTTTATTTATATATTTTATATTTTATAAAAAAATTAATTAAATTTTTATTTATTATTAGGAATTGATTTCTGAACAAATCTTCTTGGACAATGCATATATGCATTTGTTATTATAACACCTACACGAAGACAATATGTATATTCAATTGATGACTTTTCTCATGAACGACATACAGCTATATTTAATGAAGAATAAATGCTTCAAGTCATTGAAAAAATAGATCCAAACAAATTTACAGCAATAATTACAGATGGCGAAGCTGCAATGTAAGTAGCAAAAAAAAGAGTAATAGAAAAATATCCACACATAATGGCAATTAGATGTATTATGCATCATATCAATTTGGTTACAAAAGATATTATTTCTATTGAATAGGCAAAAAAACACTTAAAAATTGTCAACAAATTGTTTCATTTTTTCATAGTTCTCATCGAGCTGGAGCTGCATTACGTGATGAAATTAAAAAATTTTTTACTGGAGCAAACTTAAAATCCTCAATTAAAACACGTTGAAGTACGTCCTGAGATGTTTGTGAAGCAATATTACGTCTAAAAAATAATATTAAATGTGTTAGTATTTTTTATTTTTTAAAATTATTTTTGCTAATTTATTATTTTAAATATTAATCTACTTTTTACTTAATGATTCTTAAAGAAAAACCTGATATTTTTATTAAAGCTAATACAACTAAAACTATTATTCAAAATCAACAATTTTGACATGATATTGAGCAGTTAAAGAATATTTTAAATCCAGCAAAAAGTGCTATAACTGCTCTTAAATTTGATATTACCACATTGGCTAACTGTTTTTTAGAATTAATCAAAATAACACGAGCAATATCACAAATTTCTTTTATTCAAAATTCAGATTTTAAAAACAAATGTATTGCTATTTTTAACAAAAGATGGAAACAATTTAATACAGAAGTTTATTTACTTGCTTTTTTTCTTCATCCTAAATATCGAGGTAAGAATATTAAAATTATATTTATTAATTATATAATAATTTTTATTTAATAAAACTTTATAATATAAATTTTTAGGAACTTGTTTACAAAGAAATGTTTCTAAACATATATCAAAAATAGCACTTAGTATTTGGAAGAAACAATTTAGTGGAGGTATAAATAGTTTTAATCTTTTATATATACAACTTAATCTATACCGAAATAAAGAGGATCCTTTTAATGATCCATATATGGAAAATATGAATAATCCTATCAATTGGTGGACATTATAGATATATTAGTATATAACATATATATAGCATACATATATTATACATATACCATAGGAAAATTACGATTTTTTTTTAGAACTTTATTTTTTACTAGAACAACTAGGACACTAGGACATAATATAAAAGAATAAGTTAAATCAAAGAAAGAAGCTCTTCTCCCATAACAAAATCTGTCCCAGTTCCCGTTCCAGTTTATTAAGATGCTTCATTTACTAGAACGGATTTCTCAAATTTATAACAGAATATTTTTGCAAGCAATTAACCAATTCATCTCAAATTCAGCATATTATTATCGAAAAAAGTTGGATAAGATGTTTCAGAATTGTCAGACTCCGGAGGTAATGAAACAGGCTCTTGATAGGATAAAAATACCCGATGCAATAGAGTGTTGGCCTTAGAAAGTTGTCCCTAGAAAATTGCTTCTAACAATATATACATAACGTATCATTTGACACAGAGCCTTCTGGGAGCACTATCATATGATTCTCTAACAATATATGTAGAGTTATATCTTCTGTGATTATTCACATTGGAGTAGTAAATCAATGATATTTCAGCCAGTGCTATTCCGTAATTTCAGCCAGAATTTTAGATACAATAACTTGACACCCAAGCTGCCATAAAACTGGCAAACTAATAGAACCTCTCTGCTATCCAGCCAGTTCTTCGCCAGTTCCATAACAGCTTCATAGTAGTTCCAGAATACTATCAAGTCATCATCATAACACCAAGCTGGATCCTCAAATCATGTATTCACAAGATCAGCCAGAATTATAGCAAGTCGCCGGAGGTTATATGATATAATTATATCATATAACCTCTGGCGACTTGAGTTAGGTTATGACGGTGGTGACATATTCTAACGGTGTCAATATAATCTAATGGTGGTGACTAAAGATGGTACAGCAATTGATTTTAAATTTACAAAATGTTGCAACATAAGCTAAAATTAGTTGCAACATATG